CCAGTTTAGTTGCCTTCCAAAAGGAAGGCAGTTTGCATTCCAGATATGAACCAAAGCAGTGAGCATCAGGAGATTCACTCCAGAAGTCCACTCCTGATAAAACAAGAAATGCTAATGTAAGTACATGCTGTAAAAATTTATAGTAGTTAACTGAACCAGCGTCTCCCAGGAAAGACAGGGGCCTCCGTTTACAGGTGCTTTGAGACAGGAAGTTATTTTAAGTGAAGAGTTTTCACAGAAAATGTTTTGAGAGGGATCAGCATAAATTTTCAAGTGGTCTTTTACTCTACTACAATTTCCAGTTTTGAAGAGTAAGATTTTGTATGAACTCTATTATCAAATGAAGAGTTTCCTTTATTGTTGCAGCTGTCCATTTAAATATTTAGAAAAGAAAAAGATTTTACAAACAAGATAATCAAAACTGAGTACTAAAACAATTCTTTTTCTGTGGCAGCAATAGTCTTATTGATAAGCTGCAAGATACACAGATGATTTATCTTTAACTACTGTAATTCATACTTTAATACATTATAATTCAGGCTTTGCTCTGTCTTAAGATTTCCAATGACAAATAGTCCTTCACTCCAACATGCTTTATTTAATAAAGGAAAAAGACTAATCTGTTCTAAAACATACTAAATAAAACACAAAGGCTGGTAGTCTGAGTGCTACTCCTTCACCACTGCAGTTCAAGTTTTAGGCCAGCTCATCTGCCCAGCTGGGTAGTTTGGCAGCTAGAAATCTCTCCACTACAGCAGGGTTCTAGTTCAGGTCTCTAGGATTTCTGATCAAACCAATACAGAGTTCCCACCTGCTCCTATTAAGAGCTTTATTCAAGAATAGCAAGTACACCAAATGGTTTTGTTTCTAACAGACATAGGGATCCAGACAAGAATCTGAAACAGGCACTAAAATACCTGGGGTTTAGACCAAAGAAAAAACAATTTACATGTATGAAAGTGGGTGATTAACACTGGAGAGTACAAGACAGGGTAAAAATTAAGATCATGACCTATGATGCAGGTAACTGAAGTAACTGCAAAGGTTCACTGCATTATTTTTGGTAGGTTTCAGGCATATTCCAACCACATAGAAACTGAAAGACATTTCTATGCTTTTGGAAGAGACATAAATTACAGGAAGTACTATATTTTTAATATCTTCCTGGATAGCTAAATAGAGATCATTACATCATTAAGCTACTGGATCAAAATTTACATGGCTGGAGACATTCAGTTAAGGAAGTAGTTGATTATACTGTTGTTTGAAGAATGATCCAAAACATCTTTAGCTGTCAGTGAACTAAAATACTGTTTTCATTATTTTTCTTTATTTAGAAATTAGAGCAAGACATGGATACATACATACATTCACAATACAGGAAGGAAACTAAAACAAATTCTCTACAGCTAGGAGGAGAGGTATAAGCTAGTTTTATGCAGACTATTTATAAGATAAAGCAGTGAAAGCTTTTCTGATGTTGGCAACAAATGCAGAAAAATTGTTAGTTTCTCTCACTTTGAGCTGGAACTCTGCTATACAGTCCAGAGGAGGAATACAGGAAGTCACTAAAAAGACAGAAATTTCCAAAAGATTAGACTATTATTAAAGAAAATAGTCAATATTAGTGCTTTTTCCATGCTTAGGAAATATAAATGTAATGTTATCTTTGTCCATTTTAGCTTCATATCCTATTAAATAATTTTCTTTCAGCAAAGACAAAGCCTCAAAGAGCACACAATTTTTTATTTCCAGACCTCCCACTCAGTGCTGTGCTCCTGCTTGAATTGTTACAGCGATTCCCTGTAAACTATAGCCTGCTCAAAAATTTTTCTTGCTCTGCAGGCAGGCAGACTGAAAACTGATGTAGCCCAGCATGTGATAAACTTAACTTCAGCACAATTTAGATTTGAATTAGTAAAAATGAAAGTCTATTCAGTCCATACCTAGAGGCATAACAGAGCAACGGTACATCCAGAAGCTACTCAGCACAGTACTCAAGTTACCAATGCTGTTCTTCGTAACTGAAGATCCATATTGCAAAACCAGCTTTAAAATCTGAAAAGTTGTACCCTTACAGAAGGGAAATGCTGGATTTCAAGTTTTAATCTTTCTCCTACATCACACAACTGTAAGGGTTTCCCACATAGTGGGGAACCTCATTTTTTCTGCCCTCTAGGCTTCTCAAACAGGTCAAAATACCTGTCAGCATAAACACTCACTCCAGCATAAACAGAAGCAGCAAACTACACACTGAAGCATTTATCTGTGCCTATATATCTCTTCTCTCTCCTGCTTTGCTCTGTACAAAGTAAAGAGCAACTCCACAAATGGAAGGGAGCGAAGATAAGCAGTTGTATTTTCATATAAATTAACAAGAGAAACTTCATTAAAAAATATATTACCCTTACAATATTTTTCATTCAGAAATTGGAATATAAAGGTTACAACTCATATGTACTTTACTGCTCTCCCTCTTTTTTCCAATAGGGAGATCAGATTCTGTCCTCTTGCTTAAGTATTCAGAATTCACATACCTTCATAATCTCCCTGTTCATTTATGGAAAGAGTAAACACAAATGGCTTGTCAGGATCTTTGTGGTCAATGTGTCTGAATATAAACTGTAATTGTTCATCTAAAGGAAACACAAATAGAATTAATTAACACCATTAACGTCTGCTGCAGAGTCACAATGATGACTAAAAATCACAATATTAAGCTACAGTTGTACTTAATGTTCTTAAAATACTTGTAAGTTAAACCTGGTCTCTTTGAAAGACAAATGCATTTTAACACATCATGTTCTGCCAATTTGAGAGACAACAGTAATACCTCGACTGGGGCAGTTCTTCAGTTGTGTAAGCTAGTACGCTCTTCACTGCACGATCCAATGTTAAGCACATTGTATCACTGCACATAGAAACTATGGAAACGACAGAAACTTACCATGAATTCTGCGTATCTCCAGTCCAAGCCGCTCTTCAAACAATACTTTAGACTTGCATAGTCGTTCCACTCTCTCCTTAGCAGCTTTGTTTTTAGAAGATATTACTAGAATTTTAAAAGCCACCATAAATATCAAAGTAAAGGTAAGATAAGCACTTAAAAAAATAGTTAGAACAGTAGAAAAGCCCATCAAGTGTTGAAAACAATTCCTCCTGTAATTAAGAAAATCTACTTCTTATCCTCCACTTACTTTCCTTTTTCTTCATCAACTCTTCTTTAAGCTCTTGGATGCTGTCAGTCAAGGCCTGCTTTTGCTCTTCTTCTTGATTTAGGTTAGACTTTATTTCTGTCAAATGCTCTTGATTTTCTGATATGCGTTGGCTCTGTTGGAGAATCTCTGAAATGAGGCAAGAAAAGTATGAACATATACAGTTAATTTATTAGGTCCCTGCTATTTAGTACTTATCTCTATAGTTTGAGGTGAGTCATTTGAATAAAATCTAGTGAAACATATGCTAAATCAGCATAACTATACTAGCAGCATCAAATAAAGGCTTAAAGCGAAAGTTATTCAAAAGAGCAGCTACTAAGTAGGGGGCTCCTCTGATACTTCAATCAGATGCAATTTGTTTCTGGTGCCAGAACTACATACATCTTCAAAGCAGGAGGATGGTGGATCGTGTCCACAGACAAATAGTTTGACAGAAAGCAAGGAATGGAAACACTGGCTGATACTAGAGCTGCAGTTATTTTTACCTGATATTCTGAAGTTTAACTACAAAATTCAGAGAAGTTAACCCTAGACTGATAGGCTGACTGTATTCTATTACTAATACGGAAGAGGCATAAGTAACCTCACAATATTTAACTTCACTAAGCAATTTAATTTACTTTTCCTATTGCAGTCAGCAATTTCTGGTACTTTGTTATTTTAACTACTTAAGCACTAAAATGACTCTACAGAAAACTTTTACCCAATGTTTATCTTCTTGCATCATCAATTAAACTTTCCAACAAATTGCTTTGACTTGCAATTTATATCCTGCAACCAGCCAAATATGTTTGGGTTTAGGTCTTTCTTCATTCTGATGGTATTATTTATCTTTTAAAAACTGAAGTTAAACATATTATTCAGCTGTACTAAGTTAATTTTAGAACTGTTAGACATGTTAAATAAACCACCATACTGTACCATCACTATACTCCTGAATTTTATCAATCATCATGTCCCCTTCTTTCAGCTTCTTGGACCATTTCTCTGTAATGGAAAGTTATTTCAGTTATCTGAAGAAGTTTGATGATAACTTGGAAAAAATAGAGGTAACAGGAACATAGAGCCTTTTTACCTGAAAGTGCTTTTATGGACTCCTTGCATGAATCTCTCAGTGCTAAAGTCTGATTGATCTGTTCAGTGCCATAAATGCTTTTAAACTTGGTCCAAAACTCCTTCATTTCTCTTTCAAAGAGGTTTATTTCATCTTCTGTCTTTGTATTAGCCATTGCGCTACAACAGACACCTAAATGAATAAATACAGTGTCAATACACACAAGACAATCGCAGCAGTTACAACTCACAATTACAGGATAAACCTTCGGGGGTGGTTTTATCCTCTCGGGTTGTTGACAAAACCTCTTCCCTTCGGTTTTCTTGTTACCTTTACCGCAAGCGCTAACAGCGCTACAGGAGCTACGTTTCTTTTGCTGCTCCACCAGCCCCGGGTTGGTTATCTGCGTCAGGAGTCCCTGCGCTGCGCTCGGGACCGCCACGGTACCGACGGCCGTTTC